GTGGAAGGCTAGGATAGCTGTGATAAGCGTAGAGGTGCTTGAGATGTTAGGGAGACTCGAGGTTGGTAACTAATTTGTCCATGGTTGTGGTTGTCACTGGATCTTATAGAGTGTGTCTATGTTTGATTGCATAATGTGATATGAATGTTTCATAATTTTGTGTGAGCATGATGTTTGTGTGTTGTTGGTGAGGGCTACTTACGGAGTATATTTATATACTCACTACCCCCCCTACAATTATTGTTTTAGGCGAAAGATTCGTTGGCGACCATGGTGATGAAACGGAGGAGACATGACGAGCGAGGACTAGAGGCTGCATAGTTACTTTTGCTTAGCTTAGGTTTAGATGGTTAAGACCTTATGATTTGGTCAATAAACTGTTGTTCTTATTTGAATAATTGGGAGGTTCCCACTCGTTGTCTACTATATTTCGGAATAGGTGTTTATTTTAGTTTTCTTCCATTCATTGAGTTTGCCTAGTTGGAATAATGAAGTTACCTCATGGGGTTGTCCACGGATGATGTTTGATTGATATTCTATARAGTTKATTTATTGTTAAATTGATGAGAGTTGTAGCTTTACTTTATATAATTATTTCACAGGGAGTTGTCATCTCGTGTTTGGAGATTAAGTTTAGACAGGTGGGTAGTTAAAGTGACCTAGAAGTGTGTGGGAAGTTCTGGGGCGTTACAGTCTGCTTCGTCTTCTTCGCTGTTTTCTACAATTTTCGCCCAATCCGACGCCACGAACGACTTTCGAGCGACCCGGACTTACAAAAACAATACAGAAACTAAATGCCCAAAACACCGGGCCCCTACATGATCAAATCACGAAGAAACACGCTATCTAAATGCCAAAAACCGGAAAATTTCCAACCCGCAAACCCATATTTCGAAAATATGAAATCACCCACCAAACTCAACGATTTTGATCCCAAAAAAATCAGAACTACAACTTGGCTCTGATACCAATTGAAAGGATGTGAATCCCGGAGCGGAAACGAATTTTCGTTGCTGATTTTTGGGATACAAAATCGAATTTTACAGAAGAAAAATATAGGGGAAATTTCAAACCTTTGAAGAACGTGTTTTCAGTTAATTCCCCTCGAACACCACCACCGGATTTTCCTCGATATCCTCTTGGGTCTCGGGATCGTGCTTGTGGTAGCACCTTGATCGAAGAGAGGGAGAAATTGAAAGAATTTTGAGAGAAATCGTTGGGAAATCCTTTTTCTTTCTGTTCTGTGTGTAACCTTCTTCTTCAGCTTCTCCAACACTTGGAGAAGAAGAAGAAGGGTGACGTGGGGTAACTCCCCACGTCACAACACCTCCCACTCCCCTGCAATTTTACAGGGGAGTTACTATTAATAATAATATTAATAATATTATCAATATTAATATTAATATATATATATATATAATATAATAATAATTAAAATATATATATAATAATATATATATAATAATTAATATATATAAAATTAATTAATCAAATTAATTAGAAAGAAAAAGCATGTGAAGGGGCGGTCGTGAAAGGCACAAATGGAAGATGGGAGAAGATTCCCCCTATTTTATAGCAAAATCTAACACCCCACCCGGGGTAAATCCATCATAGCACGCCAAAAGTTGCCTTGGGATTTGCACTAAAAGTCGCAATAAAAAAAGAGAGAGCAACATGGAGAAATAAGCAGTCGTGCAAAGAAATGGGCGAGAATAACACTAAGTGAGGAAAACACTAACAAAAAGAAATTTTATTAACAAAACAGAGACCTGAAGCCTCAGATTACATGACGAAAGAACGGCAGAGTCTCCCAGAAACACGGGAAGCTAAAAATGGAAGATTAAGTGAGGAGTCCAGTACGAGCCATCTTCTCTTCCATACGTTCACCCGATAGAAGAGGGCCTGGTAGGCTTTCTCACTCTCCTCCATTTCCTAGAGGACTTCCCTCGCCATCTCCACCGCAAAGCGGGGGTTCATCTCCACCTTTACGTGCTCATCCCTCACACGATGGAGCTCAGCTTTCAGGTAAGAGATTTACGTAGCGAGCTCCTCCTTACTCAACTGAGTAGGTCGGAAGGGGTCCATGGCCTAGTATAGCGGGGATCCTTGTAGTCCTCGTAGTCCAAATTCTCCTCCGCTTCCGCACTCGCAACGCATCCTCCACTGCCTCTGCACTGTCGTTTGCATCCTCCTCTGTCGGTTCCTCAGAATATTCCTCCTCCTCCGAGTACCCCACCGTTGAGGAGCCAGTCATCTTCCTCTCCATCTGTAGGATTCGCCTTCGTATAAGTAGGGCCGTCGTCGGAAGGGTTATCGACTTGATAAGGTCGTTGTTAGAAGCACCAGACATTTCTTTGTCTTCAAGAAACCAAAGGGGAAGAAAAGTGAGGGTGGCAACAGAAGGAGGGGCAAGTCTCCAATTTAAAGGGAAAGAGGGCGAGCCCTAGCTATTGGATCAACCGCCTAGGTGTCGCTTCACCTTCCACATAGGATAAAGCGTCGCAGCGTATTGCAAAAGGGATTTACCTCGAGATGCACGTGACATAATGACAAAACAAATACCAAAATGGCAGTTACCACCTGTGTTAATCGAGGGTGAATGTCGGTGCCTCCAAATAAGAAAATCAGTACACTGCGTTGTACGACGACGCCACGTCGCACATCGCCACTGTCCGCCATACAGGAACAATCGAAGTTTCAAGGCCGCCCCCGATTCTGAATTGCCTACGTGGCATCACTCAACCATGGTCAAGTCTCTAGAGACCTGATGTTCCAAGGCATTTTC